CACCTCGCAAAGAGGCGACACGTCTAGTGCCCCAGATTCGCTCCTGGAGCGCTTCTCCCTGGAGCGCTCCCCAGTAGAATCCAACTCGATCACCGGAGTTGGAACTTCAGAGGATGGCCCAGCCTGGTCCTGAACCGCAGGTTGATCCACAGCAGGAGTCACTGGATCAGAGCTTTGAACGGTCTTAAGGGCGTGAGCACGACCCTTAGACTTGCGCTTCACGCTGCTCGTGAATCCACACACCATGGCTGCAAGGCAAGTAAAACAAAAAGTCAGAAATGAAAGTTAAAATAAAAATAGAAGTAAGGTCGAGCTCGACTTACCGAGTTAGGAGTTTGGCCTTGAAGCTTCGATTGGACGAACTAAAGGGTTGTAGTCCAACAGCCCCGACTCTAGGAGCAGTTTGTCAGTCACCAAAGTTCCGATCTTCCGACCCCTTGGGAAATGGTCTTTGTAAAACTTGAGGGTGTCGAAAGAGGCTTGTGTGAACTCGGGAATCGGTTTGATCGACACTGCACAAGACAGAAAAGATTCAAGTTAGACATGAAAAAAGAAGAACGGAAAGATTTAAAGATGTAAGCATAACGACCTCATACCTAGGTTCCCAAACCTAACAGGCACATCATAGAAGGGACGACCTGATTCGTCCTTTGCCAGCCATTCACCTGAGGCAAAGAACCACTTCCCTACCCATCCTTTGATGGAGGTCGGCCCCTTGACTATACCACCTGCGCCTTTCCTCGCGCACATATAATACCGTTCTGGTTTTTTAGCTATCCTCTTGGCCTCAAAGCACCCAAGAAGTTGGTCAACACTTAGTAGCTTGGCCTCATCCTCGTCCCGAGCTCGCAACCAAAAAAGAATGGCCAAGACAAAAATGACACCACACCCATTGGGGGCCACTTGAGCAGGAGCCAGTCCAGTTCGGTTTAAGAACTTATGGGCAAAAGGATGAAGGGGATGTCTGAGGTCGTACTCAAACATTTTTAAATAAAGAGTGACCCATCCCTCTGGGGGATTTTCAGCTCTTTCCCCCTCCTCCGGAATCTTAAGAAGAATATCATTCGGAATTTTAAACCCCCTACGGAGGGGCCCGAGATAGTACTCGGGCATTTTTGAAGGGTATTCCAAACCCTGGCCCGAGGTGGAGGTGTCACTATCTTCTCCATCATCCGAAAACCTAAAGTTTTCTATTTCTTCCAGCTCGGACTCTAACCTAAGAGCTAGGACCTCCCCAGAATCACTTGGTTTGGGGGGCGAACTGCTTATAGTCCGACCTGCGCTGCCTAGGCTATCACTACTTGAAGAGGAAGACAAGAAAACTACCATATTTGAAAGAAGAATAAAAGTAAGGAAAAGTGACTGACCTACAAAAGGGTTCGAGCTGGTTTCATATCGAACTCCAGAAATTCAGGGAACGTAAGATTTGACCTGAAGTCTCAGGACTATTTATAGCTAATCGGAAAATCCTCTGCGCCGTACACGTGTGATAAACGAGTGGCTAGGATCACCTCGAAATTTGTAACAGCGGAATACTCAAGTGCTCCGACAACCTAGCAGATCGAAACGTCTTCGGTAACGGTCATATTCTCCTTACGAATTAAAAGTCGCCACGTGTCCATAATTGATTCGGATCAACTTCTCTGCCAGGTCGAGATCGAACCTCACAGAAAGGGGGCCAATGTTTGGGGGTAAGAATACCTTGGACACATGGAGGATGCTTACTAGTGTTCAAGGATTAAATATCCCAGGTCCACCTCGGCCCTGCCGAAGAGGTCGGGTTCACCCATCGGGAACAGGCTAAGTATGCATGCCGAAGTCCGATCTGTTTGGGGTTCGATCTACTCGGAACCCGACAGGTCCGATATGAGAAAAAATATATAACCGCCGGTCGTGTGTACTGTCAGATCCACCACCTATAAATAAAAGGCCTCATTTCACGCTCAGGTATGAAATCTCACCTCGAACTAAATACGGAGTCCGATCTATACTGACTTGAGCGTCGGAGAGTTTACCCTCTTGTGCAGGTTCACTCTTGGGTTCAGGTCGAGCCAAGGACCGGGTTCGAGCTAGGTTCATAGAACAGCGTTGTGCAACTCTTTGCATAAACATCTCAGATGTTAGTTCGGTAGAACTTTACGTTGTCTCATCTTATTGAAGGCATTAGGAATAACATTCATTCAATAAAAAGTTGCATCCATATCATTGGTCAAGAATGATAGTCACAAGTCTCTTATTATTAGACTAGTTGAAGATAAGGGTGTCACAAACTGTGTTGTCGAATGAGTTGAGGAAAGAGTACCGAATGTAAATATCAACATTTATCGTAGATATGAGAGTGCAATACAAGCACAGTCTACACTAGATAGCATTGTTGTTATAGATACTCTCATTGATCTCATGTATGGAAGTGAGACATCATTACACACCACATCTCACCATAAACACAAGGAACTCATTTCGTCGTTCGTATCAAAGTTGATTGAGAAAAATCCAAGTAATGTATATATATTTATTGCTACTGTAGTGTTGATGTATATGTGTATATTTACCAAATGTTATCATGCAGGAACGTATGTGTAATTTTATAAACTTGATCATTACCATACATTTTTTTATTGATTTTTCAACTATTCAATTTAGTTGCCCATGAGATCGACGCCAGAGACAGATTCAAATTTTTTTTTTAGTTTAGATGGGATGATGTGGGGGGTGCGTGAAGTAAAGAAGATGGGAGAAGATGAAGATGCTCCTAAACCCTAATTTTTTAAATTAATTCAAACGTAAGACTTAAATTTTCCAAACCCCAAAGCCTAATAAATAAACCCAAACCAATCCTATCCTTTGATACAAGATATAAAAGCATGGTAAAAAAACATTTGGGACAACTCTAATGACTATATTAAAAAATAGTCAAAAGTATCCAATATCATAAAAATGGCTACCGTTATAATTCAATACTAGAATAAATTTAATGTTGACAAATATATCCTCTCACCAAAATAGATAAAATTATCCTACAACTTGATCTTATGGCAAAAGTAGCCTTGAAACAACTTTTTCTACAACTTGATCTTAAAAAATAAAATTAAACTTCAAACTTTCAAAAATAAAATCCGTTAAATCAATACTCTGAAATAAAAAAAGATTAAGATGTAGAAAAATATGAAAAAAAACTAACAAAACGTAAAATCAGCGGAGAAAAGTGAAAATGAGTAAAAAAAATAGGATTGAAAAATAAAATAATGTTTTTAAAACTATGAGGGGTAGCTATATTGGGAGACACGATAATTAATACCGTGGCAACCTTCAAACTCACGAACCGTCTCCTTCTTCCCCAAAAAAATGTAATCCATCAAAAAAGAACCTACAAAGAATGTTACAAAATAAAGGTAAGGACAAACAGCAGAAAGATAACGCTGGAAACGTGGTGAAGCACTTAGATGAGGATGAAGCTAAGGTATTTTCTTATTCATACGTCGTATATAATAATACTTACGTAGTATTGAAAGTAGTTTACCTACACCATAATGAGCGACTTACTTGCACCATTTCATTATTTAGTTTTTACCATGCTTAAAGATACCCCTTCACAAGGGGAAAAAACATCGATGGATGCATTTTGTTCGAGCTAGTTTTTGAGCAATTTAGATGGAAAGGAATCGTTGAATAATTCAAGAAAAGGAGCTCCCTTTGGTCGCTTGTTTGAACCTTTTTTTTTCTCGTGGTGTAAATGTTCACCTCTCCTCCATCATACTATAGTTTTACAATATTGATATTCAATTGGAGATATTTTTTATAAGTGCCCCGAAAAGATATTTCTCCCTTTTGTACATTCTATTCTCAAATTTCAAATATCAGTGAAATTATTTGTTATTAAAAGAAGAAAAAGAAAAGAAACGAAAACCACTTGTGTTCCAAATTTATTTTTTCACCAAACCAAATCTGACCTTTGGAAAAGCATATTTGAAAAGCCTAATAAAAACCATTTTTGTTTCTGTTAAGAATTTTGGTAAATTATTGAAGATTATTTTGAACCCAACCTTGTGGCAGAGAAGACATTTCGAATCCATTTAAGCTTAATGGATCCCAGGATTGTCTTTCTTCTGTATTTGTTTTACTTTTTTGGATTTTTTTCTTTATTATTATTTTTCTAATTATCCATGAGTATATAGACCAACTTGCGCACACCTCGACTAATTTTATGGGACAACCGCTCGACCCTACAACATTTGGCCACCAAATGCAACTTTTTTGGAACTTTATTAACTTTGGAATTTCATTAGTATTGTGAGAGCACAAGCCCAAGCTTCATATGCGTTAGCCCAACCTTTTCTTCAAGTAACTCTATTTACTTGTAATTGCATTCTACTTACTTTTTATTTTGTTTCATTATTTTGTTTCATTTTAATATGGAGAGTCAGAGGTTTGCTCCCCTATACCCAAGAGCACCCGCGCCCGCTCGAACATCCGAATCCAAGAGACATCAACAGTTTTTGGTACTAAGTTCACCAAAAGGTTCGAACTTGAAAGCTCTAAGACCAAAATACTCAAAGCCCTTGCAAACCGAATTGCCCCTTGAATCACCATGGATGTTGCACTCAACTTTATTTACTTGTAATTGCACTCAACTTAATTATGTTTAGCAATCAGGATTTCCTTTTAGGTTAATGTCTTTGGAGGACTGTTTTAGGAACTTATTTTCACAAATATCTAAAGTTTTTCAATATTACCCTTTTAGATTTATGCATCTAGAATTTTTTTATAATACCAATTTTACCCTTACTTATTACATTTACATTTATTATAGTTATTTTTTCAAATCTAAAAGATTTAAATCTCTAAATTGTAATCATATTCCTTTAATTATTGTGGGCCCCATACAAATTTTCAAATTTATTCCCATGATTTACCAATATTATTAATTACAAAAATATCCCAATTCATCTCTCTCCTTTTGTAATTTCATATACAAGAGTTCTTACAACTACTTAAACTTTTTTTTTATATATAAGAAACAAAGTATTCATTGATCTATAAAAAAGGAAACAACCTAAGAGCTGGGGGTTGAGAATGGCAGTCTTCCAATCTCTAGCTAACATTTGTAGGCTATAATTACAAAATAATTTTTTGTGGTATAGAGTCCAACACGAAGCAACTACTTAAGCATTATAAAATATATCCGACTAAACTTTTTGAGTTATAAAATATATCCAGATATAATCTAAATCCCATATAAATTTGAATATCTTACAATTATCTTCAAATTACTTACAACTATCTCATTTAGCTAATACTCTAATTTAAACTAGTTAATACCTACAACTAAATGATTCTAAGGAGTTCTATACTTTACCCAATATACCCAACTCAATTCAACATAAGAAATCAAACTCACTGTAAGTCCCATATATACAACAGTTTACACCTAAATTTTGCACCACCGAAATCATACCAGTACAAAAACAACCATATAAGATATATGGGTATGGAAGGGGTTTCGAAGGGGTTTAACAATACAAAAAAACCATGGTTTTCAACATTGTTCAAATCTGAAATCGAAAACTAGGAGGATATATTGGAATGTAAAATATATCAAAGTTTATATAGTGAGAGAAAACAAACCTTCCGATCGGCAACTAAACAATGGTCAAGATAAACGGAGACGAAGGAGAAGCTAGATGGACTGCTCCAACGACGGAGAAGAACGGAGACAAAGATCAAAGACGAAAATCAGGGACCAAGACTGGAGAGGAAGGAACACAGACGAGGCCAGAGACGAAGTAACGGACAGAAACCGAATGACAGAGGAAGAATAATAGTTGACAGACTGCTCCAGCGTTGAAGAAGCACAAAGACGACATTGAAGAAGAAGGAACGCAGACGCCGGCCAGAGATGAAGCAACGAACGGAAACAGAACGACAAAGAAAACAGAAAAGTCGGAGGAAGGAGGTTTTCAAATTTTTTCAATAATGGAGGAATTTGGGGATTTGGTTAGTATTTTGGCGATTTAGTATTTTTACTTTTGGAAAGTATAATTAAGCAAAATTTAAGGGATTTAAATTGTAATCTCTCAAGTAACCAATTTTGGATTTTAAAAATTAGTTAATATTGAGGTATAGATACAAAAGGATATACTAGTAATTTGGGTAATGGATACTATCTTAAATAGGTTATTTCCTGACAAAAGTGTAAATTTTATACATTCAATCATTTTATGTAATTATAGTCTACTAATTCCTTTCCTTTTTACACTCATCTGGCCATATACTTGGAAGAGGTATATAAACTAATAGGGGTGTTCACGGGTTGGGTTGGGTCGGGTCAGGTTAGGGGGTTTTTTGGGACCAACCCGAATTTTCGGGTTGACCATACGTAGAACCCAACCCAACCCAAATTGATGGCCAACCCAACCCAACCCAAAAAATTCGGGTTGGGTCGGGTTGGGTTGTCGGTTTTTTTCAAAACTCCAAACAGCCAACCTACAACAATTCTTATTCAAAAATACAATTCTTATTATGTGAACAAATCTGTTTGGATATAATTATAGATTAAAAAGAACTACTTGACAAAACAAAACAGAGAACTTACCGCGAGATTGAAATGAAAACAAACGGGAACAGGAGCGGCGGAACAAGTGCGGCGGCAACGAGAGCAAGGGCAGCGGCGACAGGAGCAAGGGTGGCTGTGACAGGAGGAAGAGGGGCGACGACGGGAGGAGAAAACAGCGGGAACAAGGGCGGCGGCGACGGGATTGAACTAAGCTTGAAGATTGAAGATTGTAGAGAGAGATGGGGGAGAGGAGATGAAATGAAAATGTTAGAGAAGGAGAAGAATAGGAAGGGGTTGAAACCCTAAAAAAAATTCGATGGTTGAGATCTATTCAAAATGGATGGATGGATGAGATTGAGTTTTAAAAAATAAGAATTATTAATTTATTATATATATGTAATATTATTTTATAAGTAATATATATATAAAAATATATATACTCGGGTCGGATCGGGTCGACCCGAGATTTTCAAGGGTCAACCTGAGACCCGACCCAACCCGGTCCGGTTAGGATTTTTCCGACCCAACCCGGTCGGGTTGGGATTTTTCCAACCCAACCCAATCCAATGTTAGATTCAACCCAACTCACCCCTTACGAGTTGGGTTAGGTTCTTTGGGTTCGGCGGGTTCCCTGAACACCCCTATAAGCTAAAGCATGTCTTTTTGTAAACTGAGAGATCCATGTTGAATGTTGAAATGAAAGGTTGAGAGTTTTTCTCCTTTGAACGCAAGCTGGACTAGTCCTTCACCATAGGTTGCACACTCCTCCTAGATCAATCAAATTTGATTGGTGATTAAACTCGTGGGGTTACTTGACTTTAGCTTTGATTTAGCCTTTTTGTTCAAGATATTTGACCATCAATAGTTGATGAAGTCAAATTTGATAAGAAGACATGTCATCATTTAACCAATGGCTTAGCTTCATGTGCGTTTCCTATGAAGAAAAAGTTTGAAAACGATAAACGTCAAATCTCTGAACTCGAATGACTCTGCAGCAAGGTTGAGATAACTGTTGAATTGGACACACAACTCCAATGGTTATCTTCCCTTTCAAATAAATACTCACGAGAGAAAGGAAAGAGGTACACAAATATTATTTTTCCGAGATTTTACTCCTTAGAATTCTGTACTGATAAAAGCTTCGGACTACTAACTTATTGTTTTGCAGGTTCCTCAATCATCTTTGAGTGTTTTTGGAGACCTTAATGTTTTGACCGATAATTTTCGATAACAATAGTAATCCATCTTGATTTCCGCTTGAGTGTAATATTGTGTACAAGGACTAGTCCAGCTTGTGTGTTTAGGAGGTGCTACCCTTGCTGCCTAAGATATTTCTCTAGGTTTGTCCTTGTAAATTAAGTAGCAATCTTTGTTGAGAGATGCTGAACCTCTCTCTTGAGGATTTTGAAGCTTATTATTTCACATGTAACTACACTGAAGTTGCCATAAGATCTAAACAAAAGGCATTCTAAGAGAGATGGATCTTAGAAGCTTCATAAACTTCCTAAGCTGTTGCAGAAATTAGTCAGGTGAGGGAGCTAAAGGAACCCTTTCTAACCACACTGCATAACAAGAACTATCAACTACCACAGACAAGTAGTTTCTTTCATCTAGTTTTACAGCGACAACAATGCTCAAATGGGTTGCTTAATGGATAACTGCGAGTTGAATTCAGACTGTGTCTCTGCGGAATGAAATAACGATATAGTTCCTAAATTTTAATATGTAGCAATTAAGTCATTTGAGTTTAAAAGGATAACAATTTAGACCCTAAACTTCAATATATAATGATCTAGTTCTTTGATCCTATACCTTAAAATGTGCTTTTGAACTCCAAGGATTAAATTCTTATGCTACAAATTGACATTTCACATCCACGAGATTTGTCACTAGAACAACTAAGTTGTTGTAGATTTTAAACTATAAACACTATACAGTTGCATTGCATACTAAACCATTACAAATTATAAATCACATGGATTAAATCATTACAAGCTACTAAAATTTAGGGACAAAATCGATACGAAAATGCAGATGAACCCTAGATTTGCATATACAAATTATCCACATTACTATTGAAGAGAGTGAAAGAATGATCAAACCGTGTCAGAAATCTCCTGAAGGCGCTTTTCCAACTCGCTGAGCCTGAAGCCCCAATCGCTGCCGATCCTCAGAGGCCTCACTCCGCGATTGATCCCAGAATTCTGAGGCTCGGCGCAAGTGGAGGGCCCTTCTTTCTTCTTCTTATCGTTCACTCGTCTGCTCCTGTTCTTCTCCTTCGCAGCAGCTGCCTTCTGCAGCGCCCACAGCACATCCGACCCACGTACCTGCCCTGCCTCAGCCTCTGCTTCCGATTCCTGTTTTGGGGTTCCCTGTTTTTGGTTGGGGAGTGGGGATTTGACGGCGGAGAGAATGGTGTGGCCCAGGCTCTTGACGCTGCGATTGTTGTCCGGTGTGGCGCTCTCGGCGTGGGTTTTGGGCGGCGGAGACTTGGCGTAGATGGCCGGGAGCGGCGGCGGCTTGGTTGGGAGCGGGCGGCGGCGGCAGGAGGGGCTGGGCGAGGCTGTGGTCGCAGCCCACATGGTTTTGGATTTTTGTGGCTTAACAAGAAAATGGAGAGGTTGTTGTTTGGTTTTGGGAAAATGTGTGGCCCAAAGTTTTTGCCTTTTCTTTTTAAGGAAGTGAAAATTACAAAAGTTGTAGCCATAGTATAGAAAACTCTTTAGAATTGAAAACAGTAGAGGGGAAGAAGAAAATAGTTGTTTCTTTTAAAACTTTTAATTTCATCTCCAATCTTTTAACTTATTAGTGTTTTAGGATCGTTGGGTTAAAGGTTAAAAGGTAGTCTTAGATTAAGATGTCTAAGATTAAATTGTCTGAAAATCAAAGATAATTGTATTTGGTTGTATATATGTCTGGGATTGAGATGTCTTATGTTTATTTTGTACGATTATTGTAAGCATTATTAATAACTAATCAAATTTATATAAATTTAATAATTTTAATTTATAACTAATCAAATTTAATTAAAAAATTATATAAATTTAATAACTAATCAAATTTAATTAGAAAAATTATATAAATTTATTAATTATAAATTTAATTTAAATATTTTGACTAATTTTAATTAATTTATGTTAATAAAATAAAGTAAATAATTACATTTAAAAAAAAATATTGAAAAGGGAGAAATAAACATCTGACACAAAACCCATCGACAACCATGAAAATGGGAGAGCAAAGAAAACCTTTGTCGAAGGAATAAAGGATGCTTGAGAATAAGCTATTCAGTAAAAGTTTTCATATCTGTCAAATAAACAAGGGCTTTACTTACCCATGTTCATTCCCACCGAGTAAACCCACCAACCAAAGGGCCCCTTAGAGGAAAAAAATAATTTAATTTCATCAAATTGAATATTGAACTTGATAAGTGTGGTAGTTTTAATGTTTTGTTCAATTTCCATGGAAGTTATGAACTAATTATAATCATGATATTAAATATCCGTCGATATTTCTATCGATATAACTATGTATCCATAGATTTGATATCAACATGAAAGATAAATCGACATTTTCATCATATTACAAAAAGATTGAAAAATATTAGTAATATATACCTAATATTAATAGTAATTATTTAAAATTTATTTAGAAATAGAAAAATGTTTATTTTTTAGTTTAAATATTTTTTCAAATTTTTTTTATTTTCTCTAACTTTTAGAGAAATATCCTTACTGATTTTTCCATCAATATCAACATTTATAAAACTTTGATTATAACAAAAAAAAACTATGTAAAAATCATCGGTGAGTTTTTAGTTAAAGTCAATCTTGCATGAAATTAATCTCAATCAACTCAACGTATTCATTTACGATTGAATAAATCTTTGAAACCCATAAGTCTCGGTTGAATCCCAACTCATTTTGTCTTTTGCTGAAATCTCATCGAATTCTTACCAGACATGTTATAATTGTTGGAAAAGATGAAATAAATATAAATTTACGATTATTCTATAATAAAAGTCATAAAATTAAAAGACAATAAAAAATATCTAAATACGAATGAAAATCAAAATCTATAAAAAGATCAGAATTATCTAGAGTCATTAATATATTAATAATCAAATACAAGAAGTTGTGATTTGTAGTCTTCTTCAACTATTCAATCTGGGCCGAATATGAGAAATTATTTGTGAAGAACAGACAAAAGTAGCATAGTGTATTTAAGATCATAACCATTTATTTATGAGTTAATTCTAGGATTTCGCATAATCCGTTAAAAATAATGAGCGGGTTTTTATTTAGCAGGCCACACCACTTAATAGCAAATGATTGACCCATAATCAATATTACTTTTATGTCCATTAAATAGTTCAATTATAATCGCTCTTTAATTTAATTTGTTACCAATTAATTATTAAATTAATTACAACAATAATTTATTGAACGCACATGAAAATAATCTTTTTAATGAGTTTCTAAATAAAGTTTTTCACAAGGTAAAATTATGGTAGCTACCTACTAAAGATTTCATATTCTAGAATTTTGTTAGCAATTAAGTGTTTTAGGGTCAAATAATTTTTATATTGCGAGATTAGTCGTGATGCATGCAAGTTGACCCAAACACCTATGGATATTAAGCAAAAAATTATAATATTTATTTAAATTTGAGGTAAAAATAGTAACATTTATTTAAGTTTAAAGTTAAAATTAATTAAATAAACAAAATAGGATAGAAATTGATAAATGGTACCTAAAAGTTCTAAGAGTAATTGGTTTTTTTCCCTTAAAATATTAATTAGTTTCATCAATTACGAAAAAAAGAAAAGGCTAAAATAACTATTTCTATCCTGTAAAATGTGCTATTGAAATTGGAACTTTGCGTGTGAACAATGAAAAAAGAATTATGGAATTACGGTGTTCGTTGGGATGTCAGCCTAGGAAATTTTGAGCGAAGCAAGAAATATAGAAGGTTGGCAAAAAGAAATATATCGCTTCTCCATAAAACTTTTCTTCACCGATACGACAAATTTTGTTCTTATCACCATTAAATATTTTACAATTAATGGAGAGAAATGTAAAAATAAAAATATCTATTAAAAATAACGAGTTGTCAAATATTTAATGATATTAAGGACAAAGTTCCTCCTTAATAGCAAGGAGCCAAGTTTCATCCATATGTTTTTATTAGTAAGGTGGGATGGGATTAAACCTTCATCTATAAATGACAAACAATTATTGATGGATGAGTTGTCTTTTATATAGTAGTTGATGTAAAGTATTCATGTGGCATGATGACGTAGTCGTAAGAAATTAATCTCTTATTTTATATGGAACTTTGTACGAGGTAAGCATTGGAGTTAATGAATGAAATTATTTAATAAATTTATCAAAATTTAAAAGAACTACCATTATTTTACAAGAGAGTGTGTCTGTTTGTCAAAGCCAGATAACTCAGGGTAATTGACATATATCTCCAATCAAGTTTACCCCACATGTTGTATTAAAAAAAAAGAGGTGTGTCTCTTTGGTAAAGAATACAACATTCTCTGGTAGGTCGCTCCTGCGTTCTTTAAACCGAAGGGCATGACATTGTAACAGTACAGACCTTGGTCTGTTATGAATGCGGTATGACCTTGATCTGGGACATGCATCTTGATTTGGTTATACCCAGAGTAGGCGTCCATGAAGGTGAGTAGTTCGTGCCCGGCTGTGGCGTCCACGAGCTGATCAATCCTCGGCAGTGGGAAGCAATCTTTCGGGCATGCCTTATTTAAGTTCGTAAAATCTACGCACATTCTCCACTTTCCGTTAGATTTTTTAACTAATACAACATTGGAGAGCCACTCGGGATACAAAATTTCTCTTATGTATTTAGCTTTCAAAAGTTTGCTAACTTTCTCAACAATTACATCACTTCGCTCCTTGTTTATAGGTCTTCTTTTTTGCTTTACAGGTCGGAATGACGGATCTATGCTGAGGCGATGCGTCAT